CCTAATTACTTCCTCCTTTTATGCCCATACAACAGCATAATTCAGTTCTCCTCTACCTTGACTGACTCTTGGGCCTTATATTGGCCTTATATTGGGTGAACATTTACTATGAAAATAAAAAAAAAAGTTTGTTTCAGACCAATTTACTGGTCGCCATTTTCCTTATACGCACATTCTTCACATCATACCACATTCTCATACAGTCACATCACACACCTCATTTATATTAAACATCTATCTTCAGTGTTTCTTAAGCGTTGCATTGGATGAAATTTAGTTAAAAAAAAAAAGAAGAAAAATCGGAGAAGTCCTGAATATAGACCGATAGAATCAAAAGTGAAATTGGCCGCTCCAACAACATAAAACCAAAAAAAAGATCCGTTATTTTATATAAAGCATGATGCTATTCATTTTCGTTAAATTCTACTGTTACATGTTTTCGAAAGCTTTGTACAGAAAAGGCAACCGTAATTCATGAATATTTATTTTCTTTTTGCGAGAATAATTGGAATAATTCCATTGGCCGATTGCTAACTCATAAATATTCATAACTACCCCACCCTTTAGAAGTGAAAAACACTCAGAACCCTTCAAATTTTCAAAGAATCATCAATAATTCACAGTCTAATCGGGCGTTTTCAAATACGGAATACGATTGCCACACAAGGGGGACAAGAACGTGCGGCATGACATCTGTGATTGATTGATATGTGACATAAAAAGATTTCAATAACAAAATAACGATAACTCAAACATTGATCACTATTATCACCATTAATATAATCGTTCCATTGAAATTTATATCACTTTGTGAAATTTTTCTTTGTTTTGGGAATTGAAGAAAACGTTCTCAGTTGGCGCTTTTCAGCTGGTACAAGGTTGGTACAAGGTTGGTTAAGAGCGCACTTCATTGGACAGATGAACCAAACGCTTGCTTCTTAGAGATCAGAGATAAGTTAGGACAAGAACTAAAATTTATTAAGTGATATATTTTGTGATCTTGGTTATACTTTGGAGATTGCGTAAACGCGAAGATTGCAGAATTTCCTAGGTCTAAACGTTTTTGGGCCGGAAAAATGTCCTGGTTTGGCGAGATTATTTGCTAAGCAACCTCGGCCAGAATTTGGCAATGTTATTTTTTTCTGCTGCTAATCACGACTAATGTTGAAATCAGATCACAAGGACAGTTTGCAAAACAAAGCTTAAATGTGAACGTAGTGTAATGAATAGCAACCTGATGATACGTGTGAATGAGTATGAAGCAGGCTGAAATGAAAACAGATCTATCTATCTATCTATCTATCTATCTATCTATCTATCTATCTATCTATCTATCTATCTCAAGCGCTTTCAACTACTTCTTTAGCCATATATATATATATATATATATATATATTTAAAATAAAAACTAGCGTCTATATATAGGTATCCACTAAAAGTAGCATTCAATTAATATATATATATATATATATATATATATATATATATATATATATATATATATATATGACTTCAAATGTTACTTTTAGTGGATACCTGTATTTGAGTAGACGCCCCATTTTATTTTAAACAGCATTTATTTCATATATCGGCCCCCACACTCGAGACAACTTATTAAAAAATTGTGCAAGATAGATAGAAAAACATATAGAAAATATGATGAACTAGATAGATATATTGGTAGATAGATAATGGATATATATATATATATATATATAGTAGCGTCCAAAACTAAGGGACAAAATTTTAAAACCTAATATTTGTTAGAAATAACAACTGTGAAAAGCTGAAATTTTGACAACTGGTAGTCAAAACGTAGTTTTGGACGCTACTGTATATATATATATATATATATATATATATATATATATATAGATAGATAGATAGATAGATAATATTAATACACTATATGGTTAGATAGATATTATAAATACACTATGTAGATAGAGAGACAGATAATATGAATAAACTAGATTAATAAATAGATATTGATAGATAATATGAATGAGCTAGATAGGTAGATAGATAATGGACAAACAAACAGACAGATAGATAGATATAATATGAATGAACTAGATAGATTGATAGATAATATGAATGAACTAGAGAGATAATAGATAAACATAGATAAATAGATAGATATTGAACAGACATAGATAGATAATATGAATGAACTAACTACATAGACGACATGAACTAAATAGATTGATAGATAGGAAACAATCGTAAAGAGAATGACACGCACATACATAAGTGAATAATTGTAAAAATGTGGAAGATTGTAAATATCAACACATGCATTTAGCATATGGCCGTCTGTTTGGCATTGATAATTGGATAATATAACGTACAACAAACGCTAAAATATGAACGATATATGTGTGTGTGTGTGTGTGTGTGTGTGTGTGTGTGTTAAAAACGTGGCTACCAGTATTTGAATAAACACCTTAAGGGAAATCTACTCACCGACATGAAGGCAGGTGGCTGAGTGGCTCGCAAAGCTAGTGTTCCAACCGACCTTGATATCCGGGTTTTAATCTCACCATGATCGTTTTTTTTTTCAAGACGTCTACTCTCTGATACCAGGGGAGTGCCTGGGAAGCATACCACGAATTGATCTTTTGAGTTCAATGGAGCAGATGAAACTGTTCGGAAGCTATCAGGGGTTTTGCTAGGACGAGGCCACAAGTCATTGTGACCGAGAGTTTGACTGTGCTGGTAACTTTTGATCATGCCAGATTATAGTTGTAACTAACGCCTATGCATTTTAGCAGGGGCTATTGTGGAGAAAGGGAAAGAAAGAAAGAGAGAAGTGAGTTAAAAGGCGAAAGGGAAAAGATAGATATGAACATACTGAGATAATTAGATAGACTGGAATACAATAATAGTGATATTTCGATGAATACTGAAATAAACTAGAATAGACTATATATATATATATATATATATATATATATATATATATATATATAAGTTATAAAGAACTTGGTTTATTTGTGGGGTTAATTTGTTTTCCAGTAACTCCCAATAGTGCTTAGAAAGTGCATTTCATTGTTGGAAGTGTTTACCCGATGATCCGAAATCCTTTAAAAGAATTTTGGTGAAATAAATTATTGTAATGGTACCTTAAAGTGGTCTGCTTTTCATTATATATATATATATATATATATATATATAATTACTTAAACGTTACTTTAGTGGATACTCATATTTGAGTAGACGTTCCGTTTATTTATCAAACCGTATATTTGTTTTCGTCTACAGTCCTGCATATTCGAGAAATCTTATTAAAGAAGTATATGCGTTCTCCAGCAAGATTCGAACCCGCTCGACAGGGGAAACCGTCGTTGGGTCCTACGGGCTTTAGACCTCTCGTTTACTCGCCTCTTTTTGAATCAACAGCACATTTTGCTTTTAAATCAAATGAGTAGTACAATGATAACGAAAAGGACCCTTATACCAAGAACAAAAAAAAGAGACAGCTGAAATTACTTGTACATGTAAAGATTTTCCAAGCGAAGCTTAGATGTGGCACAAGGCCGAAAGCATGGATCATCCAGTGAGGATCGAACTCACTTTTCAGTAGTAACTGATCTAGCAAGACAAGCTTGCTAACCTTTACACCACGTCGAGACGCCCGATTGATTTTCTAAGCGAGGCTTAGATGTGGCACATGGCCGAAAGTATGAGGCACCCAGTGAGGATCGAACTCGCTATTCAGTTGTAATTTGCTTGTGCATGTAATGAGGAAAGTCACAGAGCATATCGAGGGCAAGAGAGATGGGGGAAGGAAGCAAACCATCCACCTGACCAGCTTATGCGAATCTATAGTAAAACGGAGTTGGGGAGACCTAAAAAAAAAGAATATATAAACACTGCTCAGTGCTACAAGGGATAAGAAATTTTGACGATCCAGGATCATCTGTGTTCTTGGAGACTCGACATACAAAAGAAGTTTGGATATGTTTGAGGTATTCTTTAACAAAGTTTGACTATTCTCTTTGCCGGAGAAGGCAAAGAAAAAATTAATTTCATTCAAAATATAAAAAAAAAATGTGACTGAAAATTATCGTGTTCTAAAATTTCATGATAAAAATAAAAATAAAAGTTCACCTAATCCAAGCTCGAAAATTCACCGAGACAGTTATTTCGAGTGTATTCCTTATTGTTGAATTTTTCTTCTGAGGAAAAAAAAAAAAAACTTTGACTGTAATAAAAAACAGCTGGTACAGAATTTTGGCAATTTATTCTTATTTCTTCGGTAAGACGCTTTTGTCTGTCTCGATTCTGCGATAGTATCAGGAAGCAGAAAACCAAAAGCCACATAACCTATTTCCCGAGCAGGATAAATCGTAAATTCCTGCATGAGTGATTAGCGTCGCCACCAAGGTGGCATCCACGGGTTTAACGCTTTTCTGTTATTTTCATGAGTTGACAGTGTCCAGAATAAAAGAAAGTAAATAAAGGTCTGAAGAAAATGGCGAATATCTAGCCGTAGATAAATTCCGCTTCTTTCATTAGGGACAAGACCAAAGAAAATTATGCTACTAAAATAAAAGCAGTGATTGGCAGCCATCTTTTTATTGACAAAAAAGGGGAAACGGTCAAAGGAAAGAGAGAAAAGAAAGAGGGAAATCGATGGTCGTTAAAATCTACTAACGCGAGATTACGTGAGATTACGAACGGTACGAGAGTGGCTGGAAACGTTATAAATTGTTAACATTTTTGTATGTTTCAATTTGGTAAAACGAATGAAGCTTGGATGGACACTTCTTATTTGTTTGCATTGCCCTTAAAATGTCTTTCTTGCTCACGTGTGACATCCATGTTATTCTCAGTATCCTTCTGTATAACCACATCTCTGTTGCCTCAAGTCTTCTCTTTACCTATGAGGAAACTATCTGACATATTAATCGCAGTCCAGCACACTTTCCTTTCCTGTTCCTTAATATTTTTTTATCATTTAGAATACATCTTTAGCTATACCAATGTACCTTCAAACGATCACATCACGGTGAAAACACCGCTTCCCGTGCGATCAGCGAAGTTCAGCAACGTCGAGCCTGGTCAGCGCCTAGATGGGTTACCGCTTGGAAATACCAGGTACTGCATGCATGGATGTGCAGGTGGTGTAATAGAGAATGGCTCGGAATTGTTAATTGGAGAGCCGAGTTACCGGTGGGTCCATTATATTCACCCGGGAAAGGTATGAATCCACCTCTTCCCCTAGCTATGGGTTAATTAGTAATACTTGTCTCACTAAACCATTATTATCTCAAAATAATTCTTAGAAACTAAAACCTTTTTTAGCTTTAAATAACTAGTAATGGGTTGATGAGCCATAAAAAACACATAAATCAAATCAAAAATCAAAAGCTAAGCAAAGTATTAAGAAACACGAAAATCTCGTTAGAAAAAAAGAAAAGAGTACTTAACTATTATGTAATATCTGTGTTTCTGTATGGAAGTGAGTGCTGGATAATCTCTCCACAGATGGAGAGAAGACTGAAAGTAACAGAAATATGAGTCTACAGAAGGATGCTGAGAATAACTTGGGCTGAACCTGTGAGTAACGAGAAAGTTTTAAAGAAAATGGACACATTTACTTAGAATTAGAAAGAGAGAGTTTTAATTATAGGGTATATTATGAGAGAACGTAGGTTTGGAAAATGTGACACTCACAGGGCATAATTGAAAGCAAGACGAAAGCAGAGAATAAGCTATATAAGAAGCTTATGTATTTGGTTGGCAGAACATAGATTTTTAAAAATCAATTCACTACAAGCAAGGCGACAATGCCAATAACGGTGTATTGGTAGTAAAAGAGAATGAGAAGACTTTAGTGGGAAACCAACTTCTAAACAGAAAACTTGAATGGTGTTGTAACCTAGGTAAGGTTACTGAATAGAATAATCACACGAAGATTGGTAAAGAACGATAATACTCAGGACAAGAACAACACATATAAGATTCGCCAGCGGCGGGTAGAAGAAGAAGTCAGCTGCTAGAAGTGAATCAAGTGAATTCCACAATGAATCTCCAATTGCAGGATATCTACCAACCGCCCCATGCGGTCAGATGTGGCACAAGGCCGAATTTAATGTGCGGCATCCGAGCCTGTAGGCTCGGCCAAAAATTCCCCGTAGATATTGTATAAAACGGGGTCGAGTAGCTGTTTCCCGACACGAGACTCTGCACTTCGACATAGCCTTTTTCTGGGGATCCTCTCTGCCAGGAGACAGAGAGTTTGACCAGCACAGCTGGAGACGAAACTAAAACTGCAGGATATCTATCAACCGCCTCACGCGGTCAGATGTGGCACAATGCTGAATTTAATGTGGGGTATCCGATCCCTTAGGTTCGGCCAAAAAATTCCCCGTAGACCCCATATAAAACGGTGTCGGGTAGCTGTTCCCCGAGACGAGACGCTGCTCTTCGACATAGCCTCGTCTGAGGATCCTCTTTGTCCGGAGTGTTTGACCAGCGCAGCTGGAGACGAATCTCCGACTGCAGACCAACATACAGTATTTACTACTGTATTTACATGAATGGGGACATACCCATTATCATCCGTAGGTCTGCTACAACAGATGGGTACCAAAAAACACCTTGCCAGGATTTAAAAAAGAAAAGAAGTTGTAGAGAGCAATGAACGCCTACGTTGTGAAGAAACATGCCTCATAGAAGACCTTTCTATTTCTTCAAGCTTTTCATCTCGATTTGACACAAATATACAATGCTTTTACTTCCCATCCGCTAGCGATTACAAATTACAATTACAAATAGCTGATGTACACATATTTAGTTAAATGCATTTCAGAAGCTTCTGTTAGTATTACAAATATGACTCATAGATTTTGGTAAACGCATTTTTTGAAATGTTACAACAACGGGAACAACAAAAAGAAAAAGAAAACTCTATATGATATCTGTATGAGCATAGACATATGACAGAATTGCCAAGCAGTATGTCCTGTTACAAGTTTATTGCTTACTTACTCATTATTACCTTCTGCATTTGTCTAACAGAACTTCTGGATATGACGATAAACTAAGGCCTCTGATCGGGAGGTTTTGGGGAGCGTGAAACTACCTTTTAATTGCCGTTGTTCCCAGGTCCACACTGACCTGGAGTGATAGTATCTATTAGGGTCTCAGCTAGTGACCCCCAAACACAAAACAAAATGAAATAGATTTTTATAGCAAAATGAGAGACAATGCAATTGAAAGGAAAATGACCAACAATACATTTTAGAGCAAAATTATCAAGAAAACATTATCTGTAGTTAAAGGCAGACAATTGCGTTCAAAATATATTTAGTTGAAGCCATAAAATTGTTTAAAATATTAAATAACCCACAGAGACCTTCATTGCTAAATCCCGCCATTACAGTAATTGACATCTTTGATGATGGCTTATGTTTTAGATTCGATTAAAAAATATGTATCAATATTATGATTTTCTTTTTCGTTTAATGAAAATGTTATTAAGCTTTATCAGACGTTATGAAAGAATTTACATAAAATAAATAGACAACACTTGTCTATATTATTTAATGAAACATGTATGAATACATACATATATATATATATATATATATATATATATATATATATATAATTACATATGCCGTGAAATGAAATCGACCAACCAACATGAAAGAACTTTCATGATATTAATCCATATAATATCATATCATACGAATACTTAAAGAAATCAAACTGTATTCCAAAATATACCTTCAACAAAACAACATAAAACATACAGCCTCTAGTAATTATGTCCCCCAAAACATGTATATGCCAAAAAAGCTGAGTATCATCTACCATATATACAATTGTGAAGGCAGAATAAGATGTATCGTATCTTTATTACTTCAAAGCTCCCAATAAATAAAATAAGGAGCTATAAGGAGCCGATATGCCGTTAAACAAACAAATCAATCTAACAGGACTTTTATTGACTCAATCTTCACAAATGATATCTTCAAGGTTTCTATACGTAATTAATCCTTTTACGACCATATCACGTTGAAACACCTGTTCTCGTATGATCATCGAACGTTGAGCTTGGTCAGTGCTTAGATGGGTGACCACTTGGGTATAACAGCTCGGAATTGTAAAACGGAGGGCCGAGTTCTAATTTCAGTCGACTTCGTCATATTCACTTACGCGCAAATACTCTTTGGGAAAGGTATGAATCGACCTGGGGTAGACTGTTCTAGTTCCACGTGTCATGTTTGATGGATGTCAGCTATCAGTTATCTCCTGATAATTTCCCTCTTAAAGTTCTCCACTGCCTTAACCGGGTATTAAACTCACACTCTTTGGGTCCTGTCACTGGATCTAACCAACGCCTTTATCCACTGTGCCATGTGTCCAGTGGATAAAGGCGCATCCATCAAAAACATATCCATCAAAAACATGGCACGTGGACCCAGTGAGCGAAATAAAGGGTTCAGTTCGAAATTCCAACCACCTGGAGAAGGCCGGAGCGAACAATGGCCGAAACGTTGTAACAGATATATCGACAAAGATGAGGACAATAGTCCGAATAATGTAAACAATATACATAATACCTCATCTCAGAAATATAGACAGACTATATATATATATATATATATATATATATATATATATATATATATATATAGATAGATAGATAGATAGATAGATAGATAATTAATTCGTCAAGGCAAATTCAAGTTCACTTGGAAAAAATCTCTTGTCATCAAAAAAGAATGATTTTTCTGATATGAATAGAAAAAAAAAGAGTAAAAAAGTTTTCTTTAAAAGTTTAGACAAAGTTTATTTCAAGAAATGTTAAAGAAATATTTGACATTAGGTTTGACACCGAACGAAGATTTATATCATTTTAAATTAAAAAGAAAACAAAAACGCAGAGACAAACAAAAACAAAAGAAAAAACCAAGAACAACGAAAAAAAGGCCAGTGTAACTGTTTAAATTTTTCTTCATTACCCAAGCACATAGGCGCGAATAAAGACGTACACACGTAAAGAATACACACATAAACACGAACACACACACATCTATATATAGATACATTCACATACATACACACACAAGCACACACACACTAGCACAAATACACACACACGCATATATATATATATATATATATATATATATATATATATAGATAGATAGATAGATAGATAGATAGATATAAAACAGTTCTAATAAAGTAAAATTAATGCGACTGAGTTTTTAAAATTATGTGATAGCGATCTTCATATATATATATACATATATATATATATATATATATATATATATATATATATATATATATATATGTATGTATGCAGTGTGAGAGGCAAACATGCACACACACACCTATATATATATGATTAAATAATCAATAAATAGGAAATCTTCATCTTATTGCAATCATTCTGTCATATTTAATTCCCATTTTCAGCACACACGCACATACACACACAAACATATATATATGTGTTTATATATGTTCATATATATATGTATATATATATGTATATGTTTATATATATATGTATATGTATGTATATATAAATGTGTATGTATATATATATATATATATCTATGTATATATATATATATATATATATATATATTAGAAAGGGTGTACGTATAATAAATATATCATATGTTAAGTATAACGCATGAAAATAGTATACACATATGATGCTTCTGTCCACTTGGCTCACGTGTTGATGCGTATCAAAAGGTACATTAGTGGCGTACACACACACACACACACACACACACACACACACACACACACACACACACACACACACACACACACACACACACACACCTGTACCCACGGCTTTTGATATATTCTAATTCCAAAAATCAATTTTAATATAGACGACTTTATTCGTCTCTGTTTAATCAAATAAAGGAATTAAAAAAAAAAAGAAAACAAAATGAAAAGAAAACGTTCTTTCTTGTCCAATGCAATCTGTCAGGACTAAATGCGTTCGGTTCACAGAAAAGAGGAAGAGAGAAGGAGGGGGGGGAGAAAATCACGTTTGTCCGTAAGCAGTCGAAATGAAATGTGAAATCTTAAAATCATAAAAATCATAATAGTTTTTGCGCATTTTCTTCTTTAGGAAGATAATTCAGTCTTCTTTTCAGCTTTGAAAAGTCTACAGCTTAATACTGTATCTCGCTCTCGTGTCAAATAAATATGACTTGATATCAAATAAGCCAGTGCAAAACAAATTTTAAAAAAATGGCACTCTTATATATATAAGTGTGTTCTTTCAAATATAGAAATTATGGGTCAAATTGTTTGCTCTTGTTTCAATGGCAATTAAATAAGACAGATGATCTATCTATCTATCTATCTATCTACGTGACATATGCCTGCCCAATGAGTATTGACCCAAACATAATTGAAATATACTAGTGTTTTCTGTCTTTTTGTCTTGTTTTCTCTTAATCTCCGACGAAGCTTTAATAAAAGTGGAACATGATATACATTTCCTATCTGTTCTTTCATTTTATCATCCTGTCGGATTCCGATCCATGATCTATCTATCTATCTATCTATCTATCTATCTATCTATCTATTCCTTTTCGTGGAGTAATGGTTAACGAGCCTATTTGGTTGACTATTACTACTGAGTACATTCTCACGTCTCTCTATATATACATATACATATACATGATGTAGATTCGGGTCTGCAAAAGAAAAAAAAGAAACGCCGCGCGCCCACACACCTTGTCAACATCATATTCTCTTTATTTTTTATTGTATAATATAAAACAGATTACGACTTGACTTAATTAATGGACACCAAACTGATCATATCTTCTAAACAATGAGATAATCTGTTGTTAAAGTAACAGTGTTCAAATTTCTCGTCTCTGTTGCGAAACATACATACATACATAGTTGCCATTCATATTCGAGGATACCCGTCTATTATGGCAGCTAATCAATCCCTATTGCAGACGCCAACCTGTGGTTTATACTGCGACTATGCTGAGCAGACCTTAGTTACAGTTTCTGGGAGAGAGCTTGTTATCTAGTGTGATCAACAATCCGAACAAGGCCAGCACGCTCAAGCCCTCGGCCACGATGACTTGTGACTTCGTGCTAGCACAGCTATCGACGGCTCCCAAGGGTTCCGTCTACCCAGTTTCTTTCACAAGACTTGTGTCAAACCGTGGTATGGTTTCAGGTATTTTCCAAAGGTGCTGCACGCTGGGATTGCCCCCCTCCAGTCAGCTAAAATACATACATGTTGATTGCTTCATCTTCACAGATGACTGCCGTTTTGCCCATCAATATCTACATTCAATCTAGATCATTGTTTCCTCTCGAATGACTTCGAAGGTGGCTCTTCAAACCAGCAGCGATTTGCAATTCCTATACGTACATACATATTTTTGGTGAATATAATAGACAAGGGAAATTTCATAGTTTTTTTTTACTTGCTCTAATATTCTTACTTTTTCCAGTTTGGTGGGGGTAAGGGATTGTAAAAATTATCCATATTGTCTATTGTCCCAATTGCTTTCGGACCTTTCTTTAGCCATTTTAAAGAGGTTTTGTTTTTGCTCTTAATTTCTTTTCATGTTTGTCTGTTTAATATGTCGTTTTTGTGCTGTTAAATCTACGAATAATAGAAAAAAATAAACTAAAAAGTTAATCAAATTTTCCTCGTCTGTCATATTCAAGGAAACATGTTTGAAAGAAAGGTTGCTGCCCAAATATACATTATTTGCATATAAGATGGACTCTCCCGTCAATTTCGACGTATAAAGTTTCAAGAATTGTTTCTTTAGTTTTGATGTTACCCATGCAATTGGTTGGTACTTATACCTTTCATGGCATTTTAGTCCTGCGAGTGACTTGCAACGAAGATCGCAGAGCACATATGTATAAAGGTTAGAATCCCTAATGGCAAATATGTTTGCTGCTGCTTTTCTTGGCATGAATGTAACTGAGAAATGCTAGTTGTCAGAAAACCCAGACAATAATTTGTTTGAAGTGGTGAAGGCTTGTGCTGGATTGTTGATAAAACCGAATCGGTGCAAAAAATGCCATAGAGACTGTCAGCAAAAACCCTTACGTTTTATTATCACGGAGTAGTTTTTAAGAAGTTAAACCTATTGGGTTTTTTTTGTGACAACATCACTAAAAATACTGCTCGCCAAAGCTCAGAATGACTCCTTTTAGCCTCATCAAGAGCAACTATCCAGCATCAAAACTCAACCTGATATTATTTACACACACACACACACACACACACACACACACATATATATATATATATATATATATATAAGTAGTCATCCAAGATTGTTTCGCTGTATCACAGCTCTTCAGTGTGGCTACTAGACGTCCGATTGCTTCAAGCCGGGATTGAAACTCGACCGATTTGGAATCAGTCAGAGATCATACCCCTAAGCCCCTGGCAGAGAGAAAGGGAATTTTTAGCGTTTTCTATACGAAATACGCCAGTGGCTAAGAGAACTCAATTCGTACTTGTGAGATTACGACTTGACTCAATTCGTACTTGTGAGATTACGACTTGACTTAATTAAGCTACTGCTTTTATTCAATTTAGTCTTTTCTCTAGAGAGCTCTATCAAAGGAATCTCTAGAGCACTAGATCACAGCTCTTCAGTGTGGCTAGACACCCGATTGCTTCAAGCCGGGATCGAAACTCGACCTATTTGGCATTAGTCAGAGATCTTACTCCTAAGCCTTCGGTGCACGGCAGAGAGAAGGAGATTATATATATATATATATATATATATATATATATATATATATATATATATATATATATATATATATATATTATTCTTGACAACGTTTTTGCTCTGTTTAGGTAAATTACGTACTGAGCACTATGCTTTACAGGGTAGGTAGGTGTTTGCCTTTAAGTTCTTTTTTGCTTATTGCTGTCCGCGTTCAAGATTTTATCCTTTTTAAGGGTATTTAAGTAGTTGGAAAGTTATCCATCAGTTTCATCTAAGGTTTTGTCTTTTCTTTCATAATATATTCTGGCCAAGTGTGTGGGCTTCTCCAGGTACAGAGTTGCCCACCAAAATCAAATCCACACAACTGACCTCGTCAAACTCTCTTTGACTTCTCTTTCTACCACCCATTATCCACCAGCATGAATAGGGTCTGCAACGTGCTCTCAGGAAGGGCCGAATCGTTCAGCTGCGTCCACTGCCTAGTCTCCTCTGTGACTCCTGCTCACGCCTCTTCAGGAGTAGGCTGGGACTTTACAGAGGGGAGAAAGGGCATAAGAAGAGAGGACAACGATCTTGATGCTCGGATGCTGGCGGGTGCCAACTATTATATATATATATATATATATATATATATATATATATATATAAAAGTGAACATAGAAGTCAACACTTAGAGGCGACCGTCTGTTTCATGCTATATGCAATGGTCAGGCCACGTGTGCTGTTATTTTTCTCGGCTATTTATATATATACGGGTTAGTGGTGCATTGTGGGTATTCTATTATGGCGGTTATTTTTACCGGAAGTCGCTTTGTTCATTTATTTGGGTCAAGTTATATTGCTCGTTTTTATTTATTTTTATTTTATTTTATTTTTTTTTTTTATTTTTTATTTTTTTTTTTTTTTTGTTCTTATTTTATTTATTTATTTCTTAACGTAGTAAAATTTGTTTATATCACGTATTTAACAGTTTTGTTTTTGGTTTGAGAATTTAATTAAAGCTATTTGTTCAATTTTTTTAGGTTGATTGTTGTAGTTCATTCTAACTATTATTTTTTTTATTTTTTTTGGCGGAAACAGTTTTTTAATTTGGGATTGGTTTGCCTATTTATTTACTTGGATGAATTTAGGTCAATTTATTTTATATTTTCTTTTTTGGTTTTTCGGTTTTAAGCAACATAGTATTTATTTATTTATTTATTTTTTTTTTTTTTATTATTATTGTATTTGTTTTATTTTATTTTTCCGTTTTTCATTTTTTTAGGTTACGTAGTAAAAATTTATTTTCATGCCTGCATTTTGAGATGAGCTCGGATCTTTTATTTAATAATTTATTTTGGTCGGGGAAAGTAATGATAGCTATTTTTTTCCTCCAAGCAAAGTTTGCAAGTTTTTGATTGGTTGTTGTAGGCTGATGACTTTTTCCTTATCTTCCAAGATATTTTTGGTGTGATGTGTTTTGTTTTTTTATTTCCCAGATATACTTAGAAAGCATAGTACTGTTCGCATATTTACTATTTGTGAACGATGTTTTGTGTGTATAATTTCTTTGCTTCCAGGGTCCTTCAGTTACTCCTATGTATACTTTTTTCTTCGTTATCTGGTGATTTTATCGGGGTTTGGTATATTACGTTGTTTTGTAGACAATTTCCGTTTAAGGGACATTCGTTCTTTATTCTGCAGTTGCACGTGGGTTTAATTTGTTCGTGTGGTTTGTTGATAATTTTCCTATTGTGCTTTTTTTATTATTTGTGCCATGCTCTCGGTGCAGCTGTAGCTGATTTTTACTGTATTTTTGTTGAATATCTTGTGTAAGGTGCTTGATTCTGGGAAGTGTTTGTGTAAGAGTTTGAAGAATATTTTTCCTACGTTTGTTTTTACGTTCTTGCTGTACGGTGGGTTGAACCATATGATATTTCTTCTCCTGTTGGTCTTTTTTGTATTCTGTGGTGAGTATGTGAGTATTGCTGGGAATCCGCTATCTTTTAGGGCCGTTTCATAGTCTTTTTTAGCTTTGTTAAATAGGGATTCATTGGAGGAATTGTCGGAGAGCCTGCGGTTAATCGATTTTGGTATCTGTTTATTGCATATACCATGAAACAGACTGTCGCCTCTAAGTGTTGACTTCTATGTTCACTTTTATATTCACACGCTCTATCACTGATATTGAGCACTTTATCTCATAAATATAGCACACCTTAAGACTATATTTCTTTATATATATATATATATATATATAGTCATCCATAGACAGACTGTTTCTCTGTATCACAGCTCATCAGTGTGTCTAGACGTCCGGTTGCTTCTAGCTGTAATCGAAACCCCGCTGAATTGGCGTCAGTCAGAGATTCTACAACTACGCTATGGGAGCACGGCAGGGATAAAGGTGAATTTAAGCGTATTTATTTTTAGATAAACACACAGTGGCTGAGAGAACTCGATTCGCTTTACCGAAGAGTCTTATTAGCATTATTAGCAGTAATAATCACTGTTCACAAACTCACACTTCCTTCCCAGAGAGCTCTACCGAAATAAATTTTTCAGGAACATATATATATATATATATATATATATATATATATATATATATATATATATATATATAGTGGACTCTCCCGTCGAATTCTACGTATTAGGGTCAAGCACCTCAGTTCCTGATTTGATTATACTGGTGAAGGCTTTATACAGAACCAACCACACTTTTTGAAGGGCCGAATACAGAGACCTGTTGCATTACGTGTGTAGACATTAAATTCTCTAACTGCGATGTGTGAGAGACTGTCCTCTCTTTACCAATTTCCGGGATGCATCAAATTGTCCGTTGAACGATAACTGCCTAGTACATGGTCTTCTTTACAGAGCTAAAGCAGAATCTAAAAAAGGCCAAGAAAAAGGGTACATCGGTTCCACAGAAGGAAGTTTAAAACTTGATATTATAATCACAAAACTTCCTTTAAGATAGAAAGGTACAGAAATTGCGGTAGTATATATAACCGACTATCACAATACTTTTCCACTCTTGCAAACCGAATGCAGTTTTGAGTTCATGTGCTTCTGCATACAGGGCTGTGAGTAACCCATGGTCAACTTACTGGTTAATACAACAGCTGCGATTGGCGTGCAATGTTATTTTTGGCAACAACCGAAGGGAGAGTCTTGCTTCCCTACGGCTGTATTTCAGCAGTTTATTTCGGATAAAGCGGTTACCAGGAAGATTTGATGCTGCCATATTAGCAGTCATTTTTACCCAGTATCGATGAAGGTTATTTTATTTTTAATGAGTAGCTGCGACTCCTCTGTGTCGTCTTCCCGCGTGAAACCAAAACCAGTTTGCTCAACAAAGTTTGTGTGTGTTGCGCTCATGCGCGTATAAGACAGTCTAGGACTCAGTTGGGCTGGATGCCGGGAACCTTTATCAGCAGTCAAAACTCGTGGTCACGGTTTGTTTGTGCGAATGGCTAGGTGCTAAATATGATAATCCCCGCACACACCTGCTTCACGCTGGGTAACGCTACTTGAAGACTTGAAGGTGTCATCTTGTCGGGTGAAGAGAGGAAAATTGTACGAGACACGCACGAAATAACATATTTTACCCAGCCACCTGCCACACACAGATAAATGTACGTGGTCTGTCTTACAAGGTGCAAAATATAGAATAAACTTTCTTAAACACGAGACATTTTCTCCTTTTCATTGACTGTAAATGACAGTATCATCACTTGTAATAATGACGTCGAACAAAATAAAACCGTGTCTGATAAGGACTTCTGCAGAGTCTTGGATTGCAAAACGATTTTATAATGTGCATCATCTTGTCAGTACTTTTTTCGAGAGGTTCTATCTATCTATCTATCTATCTATCTATCTATCTATCTATCTATGCATGTAAGTATCTATCTATCTGAATGTATATATGCATTTAAACATCTATCTATCTATTTATCTATCTATCTATCTGAATGTATATATGCATTTAAGCATCTATCTATTTATCTATCTGAATGCATAAATGCATTTAAGCATCTATCTACCTATCTATCTATCTATCTATCTATGCATGTAAGTATCTATCTATCTGAATGTATATATGCATTTAAGCATCTATCTATTTATCTATCTGAATGCATAAATGCATTTAAGCATCTATCTACCTATCTATCTATCTATCTATCTATGCATGTAAGTATCTATCTATCTGAATGTATATATGCATTTAAACATCTATCTATTTATCTATCTATCTATGCATGCAAGTATCTATCTATCTATCTATCTATCTATCTATCTATCTATCTATCTGAATGTATATATGCATTTAAACACCTATCTATCTATCTATCTATCTATCTATCTATCTATCTATCTATCTATCTGAATGTATATATGCATTTAAGCATCTATATATCTATCTATCTGAATGTATAAATGCATTTAAGCATCTATCTATCTATCTATCTATGCATGTAAGTATCTATCTATTTATCTATCTATCTATGCATGCAAATATCTATCTATCTATCTATCTATCTGAATGTATATATGCATTTAAACATCTATCTATCTATCTATCTATCTATCTATCTATCTATCTATCTATCTATCTTTATCCAGCATCGTTTGATTTGATGGAGGCATTCCTGAAACTACTTTTTGGGATAGTGAGCAGCTTTCTCGTCGTAACTCTGTGTTGTGGTGAAACGATCACATCGTTACATACGTTTCTTCCAAGTATTGCTATAATAAATGGAAGTGGCCGAGAACTTTATAACTTAGTGTGCATGTGCGACAGAGTACAAGATCAATCTGTGGCAAGCGGATTCACTCTGCGCACGATAGCAACAGACCCGATCCTTTTCGTGAAACCTGGTATATGCTCATATATATATATATATATATATATATATATATATATATATATATATATATATATGCGTGTGTGTGGTGGGGATGATGAATGATAATGTAGAACAAGTTTTCGTGTGACTAGTTTCGTTATTTAGGACTACATCAGACTACGTTTATGTTTAGGTTGATGCGACTACACAGGCGCACGAACGAGAGACGCTGGAAATTTGAAAAGATTTTTATATGTGTTTTGGGGATATAATCTAGCTGATTTCATTTAGATTCTTTTGGTTTTTGTCTTTGTTTTGTTTACATTTTGTTATTAAATATCCCACACTGTACTGTGATAACAGATGATCTGCCAAGAATGGTGAAACGTTGTAAGAAACAGGACGTAAATTTACTGTTGGCGATCTACATAATTAAATTACATAATTAAATTCGCATTTTTAATATCAAAATTGTAATCAGTCTCGTTACAGTGAGCGTTTAATATGTTGTTTTGTAGAATATCCCTTTTGTGTTCATATAATCTTTTATTTAATTTTCTTGAGTTTTTTCCGATGTGACAATTATTACAAGTAATATAAAAATTCGTCCTCCATGTTTTTGCATGTTTTGTTTTGTATTGTTTAAGTCTTATTATTTTAGACTTAGTTCTGACAAAATGTATATTGAGTTTAGAGTCAGTGGGTACAACAATGTTTTTTTTTTTATTCGTTTGGTTTGTCAGGAGGTGCCACTTTTATATTTTGGAATAGTTTTTTAACCTTTCGTCTTACATTGGATATGGAATAGTTAAAGTCTTGGATTGACTTGAATGTATTTTAACTGTATTCCTCCTCTTCATGAAAATACTGAGGGCTGTGAATTCTGAGTGCTCTTAAGTAGAATTAGAAAATTATTCCCGATTTTATAGGGTTGTTATGATGGAAATAGAAATAGAAATGTATTAGATCATATTTATTAGTTGATTTGCAGTGAACGCCAAGTTTTAATATACTCTTAACGCCGTGTAGCATGATAACTCGGAAAGGTATTGCATTGTTTGCTTCCATTTCGTATGCAAATTTTATTGTATGTCCGACTTTTTAATGGTTTGGTTTCGTTTGTTTTGTTTTGTTTTACCGCATATCAACCTCCGTGGGTTATTTAATGCCGACAAAATTTTTATTGTTGGTAATATTCTTTTTCCAAAAATCTATTTCTGGCAATATTTTTTTTTCAAAAATTTATTTCTGGTAATTTCTTTTTCAAAAATGTATTACTGGTAAACTATTTACCCATAGCTGGGACCCTAACAGGTGCTACCACCACGTGTCAAGGTAGACCTGGGAACACCGGCAACTAAGAGGTGGTTCTACGCTCCTAAAAACATCCTGATCAGATGCCTAGCTGCTAGATGTAGTTTATCGTCTTACCCAGGACACGGCACTAGTTTATCGTCATACCCAGACGAGAAAGAATCTAAATGGAATCGGCTAGATTATGAAACCAAAACACATATTTAACAAAAAATATTAAAAAATTAAAAAAAATGCCCAGTGCGCATGTGTAGTCGCATCAACGTAAACAAATTCAGTCATAAAGTACGAAGCGCGTGAGGTGAAAACTTTTTCCACTTTGTCATACATATTTCCCTCAAAATTGTTCTTGTATATAAAAATTATATATCGTTATCTCATATCATATATATATATATATATATATATATATATATATATATATATATATATATATATATAAATTAATTTAAAAATGTATGTCCATCACCACATACAAAATTACTACATAGTAGTTTCTGTGTCGTCATGATGGAAACATTTTTTTTAAATAATTATATTATTATTCTCTACTTTATAACGAACACTGTTTTTTTTTTTAAATAGGGAAATAATTGCTAAAAGAACAATGTATTAGAAATCTAACATCTTTCCTATTATTTGAATATGTATGTATATATATATATATATATATATATATATATATATATATATATAAAAGTAGGAGGATTTGATAATATGCAATATTTGATAATATATATATATAAATATGTATGTATGTATGTAAAATGTGTAGGAATGTAAATATATATATATATATATATATATATATATATATATATATATATATATATATATATACAGTTTTTTTATATATATTATTTATATATTATATATGCGCTGTACTTATTGGGTAGCGCTCGATATCAGTGATAGACCTAACATATTTAGTTGGATTGATGTGAGTTTGTGACCCTGGGTTTCACGATATTTGCGATCCATATATATATATATATATATATATATATATTCACTTTTTGGCAAAAGTGATATTCGCCAAAAAGGAACTGTTAAAGTAAAATGGTGTTCAATACAATTTTCATAAAACAAAACACAAATGTAGGACATGTTCAGATATAAAATATCCAAGACACTGCAACAACGGTTTCTACCAAAATGGCTTCGTCAGGCAACAAGTGAGCTAACTTAGTCTGACTTAGTCTCATATATATATAATATCCGAAACACTGACCTTCCTACAACCAATCAAGTCGAGCTTCTCGACTTGACGGTCGAACTTTCTGCCTCTGAGCAGAAAGGGAACCCGACGAGGTTCCGCCGAAAGGGCAGAATCTCGTTCAGGGAGAAATGACCAACCTGATCTCGTTTATACGGGTTATACGGCATTTTTTGGCCGAGCCTACGGGCTCGGAAAACCCACGATAAACTCGGCCTTGTGCCACATGCAACCCTCGTGGGGGTGGCTAGAATACCTTCCTACAACCACGGTTTCTACCAAGAAGGTTAGTCAGACTAGTATATATATATATATATATATATATATATATATATATATATATATATATATATATATATATATATATATATATATGTGTGAAACCCAAGATCACAAACTCATATTCATACAACTGAATATGTCCAGCACTATCACTGATATTGAGCACGTTGCAATAAGTACTGCACATATAAAATAATCTATCTATCTATATATATATATAGTTGAAGATGACAGACAAGATAAAATTAATTATTTTTTTTTTTTGTTTTTTTTCCAAATTCTTATATATATATATATATATATATATATATATATATATATATATATATGCACATGGAAAACTAGCTTAACGAGTTTTAAAATACAAAGAATACAGGTACTTTGAAAACATGTCTGTAGGTAGCCATTAATTAGATAGCAAGCTATGAATTATAATTTACTATTGTTTTGAAATGCTTTCTCGCTGTTCACAGACTGCTAAACTAAAATTTATTGAATTATACAAGGAATAAAAAAAACAGAGAAAAAATAATTCCTACCTTTTTCACCTACCATTTCTTCATTTTTGTTCAGATTTTGAAGTCAGTTGCTAAAATTACCTGCTGTTTAAAATGTGCATTTATATTAGACATGTGCAATAAACGATTCCGTATTTAAATAGACGTCAACAATTCTTCTTTTATGTCGGTGTTCATTCAGGACGTAGGCGTTTATGGCCCTATACATCGTCGTCTCCTTTGTAGCTCTTAATATGTTTGGACTTTTAGTTGTTTCTCACAGATGCTGTTCTGGCATCCATTTGCTGAAGCCCATTAAGTGTGACACGTGTTGCTTTCACTTGTCTTTCCTTCACTCTATCCGCCCTGTGAGTATCAGATTTTCCAAGCTATCTTTCCTCATTACGTGTCCCAGAAATTTCAACTGCCTCTTCCTGATGTTAAGTATAAGTTTCCTTTTTGTTTCTATTTTCTGCCAAACGTTGTTGTTGCTCACATTTTCGGCCTATGGTTTCCTTAGCATTCTTCTGTAGATCCACATCTCCGTTGCTCTTCTTCATCTTTGAGGAGACTGTCCGTCGATGGCTGCCATATAGGAAGACATATATCTTGTAACAGTTCAGTACTATTTGTTTCCAACGACATTTTCCAGTTTTAATACTCTGCTTCGCTTTTCGAATGTCTTCTTGGCCATCTCAATACGTCTTCGGATCCCAGCGTCGCACTTTCCGTCCTATGTTAGAACATTTCCCAAATATTTAAATTTCTGTACCTGCTTGATTGTTAGTATCCCCGACGTGTAATTTGCATTTTGGGTCCAACTTTTTGCTAATGACCATCTTCTTATGTTTTAATTGTTCTTTTCTCTCTCCCACGCTACCTTCTGTAGGAAGTTTTGTGATTTCCTTTCAGTATCTGCTATCTTTATCTATCCCAGTCTGTTCATATCTATCTATCTATCTATCTATCTATCTATCTATCTATGGATGGATGTCAGACACTACACGGGTTTTTGAACAACACACACACACACACACACACACACACACACACACACACACACACACACACATATATATATATATATATATATATATCTGTAAAGACCATAATAAAAAAAATTCTTTACTAACGCGTTTTGTTCTCTGATGGACCTTAACAGATTATGAAAATCGATGGTAATGAATAATTTTATTTTAAAATTTATGCATTTTACTTATAACTGGATTTTTACATCTATCTATCTAGGTTCATATGTATTTATCTATCTAAGTTTGTCCATATCTCGGTCTCTCTCTCACTATATATATATATATATATATATATATAACGTGGATACTGAAGTCAACGTCAGGCCATGTCTGCATTTAACATGAAATAGACTCTCGCATCTGGGTGTTGACTTCAATGTACACTTTTATATTTACATACGCTCTATCACTGATATTGAGCACTCTCACCCATAAATATAGCATACTTTAAAACTATATTGTATCATATATATATATATATATATATATATATATATA